ACTGCAGGTGGATTTTACTTGCAATGTGTTCACTGACATACATTGATGAATGCCTGTAAAACTATTGAAGACAGTCACTTTTAGCAGCCTCCATGCTGTTTAAATACAATACGTGTTCACATTGAATAAAGCATATCTGGCGTTTACTACTTCATTTTTACTTTAGCCAAGTCACAGCGCCTAAGATAACATCATCAGAGACATTAAAAGCTACGTGTCAGATTGAAGTGTGCGCCAGATCAACTATGGTGGTTACACTGTGATTGCTGATCTACAGGTAACATCGGACTCAGGTCCATCATGTGGGATGTAATAATTTGCATACAAAATAGCATCGAATAGTGTGAAATAAGCCAACATTTTCCACAAACTACAATGTGACCAACCAATAGGGTATGCATATTTTTTAAATTTTATTCCTAATTTAAAGCCTGTATGGCATTTGCGAAATCGTACGAAATATTCTCCTCTTACTAGTTTGCTCTTAACTGGTTGAGACTGTGGCTTGAGCATATTTACAACAACTGCCTGTCATACTCCCCCATCAAAACACCTTTTATTGGCCATCAGATAGTGTTTGATCTAATCCCAAGCGTTCCAGACTTAGCCAACCAAGAGAAAATGATGTTATACCTTGCATTTGATAGTATTCACCAGATGTGATGGCTGGATAAAGGGAGTCATAGGTTATTTTGTATTTAAGAGCTAGTAAATTTGACTGCCCTACTGACGTTGAGGACGAATAGATCATCTCTGTAGTTGCAGTACAGGAAATAGTAGGAAGTAGCAAAATAGGACTGAAAAATAAACATTCTATTAAAGGCTCTTTACATCTACAACTTCCAGCCCCCAAATCGTTTCCCTGCAATAAGGACAAATGAAAATGTACAGTCATATTAAGGTTTATTGAAAGGGTGGGTTGACGTTTTAAGGATTTTTAGAAGCCCAATCTAAGGACTTCTTCATAACGCATCTGCAATAAATATTCTCACTTATCAAATTGTTTTAAATACCATCTTCATTAAACCTCAGTCGCAACTGCACTTTAGCAGATGATTTTAATTTTTTGGATTCTTCTCAAGCTAACCTGTAAAAAAGTGAAAATTTGTAGCAACTTCAATTGCCAACCAAACGCCGCATGGAGTAGTTGAGGTTATCTAGCATGCAGGGCTGTGGTATTTCCTAATGCTCATCAATCAATATTGAACTAAATCACAGAATGCTTAAATTTCATGTTACTTTGAAACCACG